TACTCATCCCCTCAAGCCATACAAGTGTAGCAAGTCCAGTGGCTTAGATTTTCAGATTCTGGCATTATTATAATATTGCAATTATAACAGATACATGTAACTTGATAGTTGATATTTGAGTAAAGCTTAAACTATGAGCATAATTTGATTTATTTCAAAGCATAGTAGGCAAAAGTTGAAGCATAATTTGCCTACCCCTACCTGTTGCTGTTGACATTATTAATTAATTGTTACTATCACTGTTGTTTTATTAGGTGGACCTGCCTCTGTTAACGGGTTTATTCCTCATTCAAGGACATTAAATATTACTGATGGTGTCACTGGAATGATAACTGTTACTACTACCAGTGACACTGCTATAATTAGTATCACTATTCAAGTACCTGATCCAACTAGCTATTCTACAACCTTTAATACTACACGAACAGCTACTCAGTTATCCTTTAGTGCTTCACAGAGATTCCCTGATCCTAATTATGAAATTTCTAACGGGATGGTTAGGATCAATGGCCAGCCATTGATAACACCTGGTTCTTTCTTAGCCGTTAGAACAATATCTTCCACTGGTAGCTTCAGCTACATGGGAATGGCGGGAATCTATCAGTTAGGAACTGGGTCTGGTGTAGCCGCTTTTCGCAGATACATGCCCTATTATTATATATCACCTTTTGGACATGTCTATACGTACTCTGGTTCTAAAGCAGTGAGAGATAAAGCACCAGGCAAGGTTTTTGTTAGATTGAACGACGTGCGGAATGAGCGGCTAATTATAACATCAGAGAATTCATTCATTACTGAGCAGTTAAGCAAACTGTCCGGTGCTGCAATGACCATAGAGCCAATTAGAGGTGGAGGAGCTATTGGTTTCAACTTTGGAACTGTTACCAATGCTTTCATGATAACATCATCAACCAATGTCAGGAATGCTGTATCCCCAACTAGCTATACTGGAACAACACTTATGGTTGGTAGCACCACTTTTAATAACATTGACAATGTCCTCTTAGCTGGAGAAGGTTTTGAACAGTACAGATCTGCCAGCAATGAAGCAACCACTTTTGTATCCTATGACTCCTTCTTCATTAATGGTCGTAATGCTGTCTTCTCAACAAGCCCAAGACTCACTGCTATGATTCAAGAGGGTCAGATGTTTCTGGCTGGAGGTGGAACATCTCAAGCTGCTTATACAGTCGAAGGCAATAGAGTGAAGTATGGTGGTGTGACTGTATTCACTATTAATGCTGGTTTTACGACTTCTGATATCACTGGACCTGGATTACTTTCATACAATGGTCAGACCTTTTCAGGCGGTTCAACTAGTACTGGCATTGAATCCTTTGCTTATAGTGTTGGACATACTATTGGTATAGCCTTTAATGGAGGTGTAACAGTGTCTTATGGTCCTGGTGATACTGTCAAACTATATGTATCTGGATCTGAGGCCTTAGCTACCAACTTACAATCTTTAATTAATAACATTACAGCTGCAACAATGCCTACAGTAATACCGGGATCATCAGCTGTATACACCACAGTCCTTGGATCAGGTAATACCGGGATACTTCAATTGAATGGGCAGAATGTAGTTGAATTCACTGGATCAGCTATGAGCATGACATTGAATAATGGAGACTCTGTTAGCTACAGTGGGGGAACCATTAGTTTTACTCCTGCCAATTCACGCGGTCCATTCACTGGTATATCCAGATTTACTTATGCTCCTAATGGTCAGAATACAGTTCAGTATAATGCTATAGCTAATCAGACCTTTACTGTTGACTCAACCTACCAAATAGTCGTTGATAATAATGGTAACGCACTCCTGACTAATGATGGTACAGTGAGAGGATTGCTATCCAACCCGCAGTTTGGGGTGACCTTTAGCAGCAGAGACGCTCAAGGCAACTTCTTCCTAATGATAGGAGGCAGCAATATAGAGAGGTTGGGGAAGAACACAGTACGTCATGAGGTACCCACTGGAGGCACTGTAAGATTACTGGGAACCTCCTTTGGTGGCGTCTTGAACGGCAACGCCATATTCCCTGGAGTCACTGCAAGCTCCGTACAAACTTATTACTCTGGTCAAACTATTCCAACCATCAGAACAGGGACACCCACTCCTTATATTGAAACTGCCACGACTACTTTTTATGTCTACATAACTCCAGGTTCTGGAGGTACTTCTACAGTCTTCATCACTGATAGAGCCACACTTGATGCTGCTATTAACAATGAACTAATGAGACCAGAGACGTCTACTCCTGCTCCTACTTCTACTCCTGCTCCTACTCCCACACCTGGACCAGGAACCCCTGCTCCACCACCAACCACTGCACCACCACCGGCCACCGTACCACCGACCAGTGGTATAACGGTAGTTGTTAGGGACGATGAAAACGGTAATCCTATAGTGCGAGCCATTGACCGTATCACTGGCAGTGATATTAATCTCATATCATTGACTGGCAGTACACAGCGTAACGTGACTTCGGATGAAGTGGTTGGATACAATGGACCCAATCTCTTCATTCGAAGAGCTGGTACTATACAATTTCTCAGCGATAAAATCAGACGGTTCTACTATTACGATAGAAATGGTGTCCTCCAGAGCAGATCTATTCTTAATGTGCCAGGCAGTGGTCAGTTAGTCTATAATGAGATATCAGGGAATGCTTTCTTCACCGATAACTCCGAGACCATCGACATGATTAGGTCTGCTAATCCTCCTACTACTTTCAGTGTTCGGATCACTACTGTCCTTACAATTGGAGGATCGGTCACTAATCTTATTACTGAGGAGACCACTTTATCAGTTAGTTCAGTCCAGAGCGTTAGATTCAGCAACAGAGGGTATTCTGTTATCAATCAGGATGGGTCTATTGCATTCAGCTCAATGAATCAAATGTTCAACACATTGATTCAGTATAAGTCTAATTCAGATCAAATTAACATTTTGTCTCTATCAAGTACACCAGTTGAGATTCAAGGACCACAGACAATATCTGTCGGTTCAAACAGTATCGTTGTTAGCAACCGTCCTGAGATTATTGATGCTATTAAGACAGTTATATCAACTTCATCTCAAACAGTAGGCACTAGAGTGGACAATAACAATAACACGATTCTGGTAATTGGTGGGCAGGATATAATACCATTGGATAGTGCTTTGGTACGTCCAGTTCAAAGTTATGAGTTCATTACGTACAGTAACTCTATGATCACTGTTACCAATGTTGTTACTAATCAGATGAGTGGGTCTAGTATACCAGCAAATACATTCACCATGTACACTCCGAATAATGATGAGCCAATGGTATTCAATGGATCTGCTTCTTCAATGCCATTTGGATTCGGCTACCTGTACTATACTCCTAGCAACCAGTCCTTCTTTGTCAGTAGGTCTGACGTTGCTTCTACTATATTCTCAATGTTTAACGTCACTAGTACTCTACCTCCTCCACCTCCTACCATGACTCCAATACCTGAGGAACCTATAGGGCCACACTGACTTTTTACTGTTAATGTAAGTGCAGGTTTGGTGGTCACGTGTGAAGTAGCTGCTAATTGTTTGTTAAGTGTTTATTATTTATATTGTGTATATCAACTATGAATATGATTATCTCAAACACAGCACATCACAGGTATTTTAATTATTATTAACACTAAATTATAGTAAATTAAAAGTTTAAAACTAGTCAAATGTCTTCCTCATTGTTGTGAGCAGTCACTGATTTATTAGGAGAGGTACAGCAGCATCTCCAAGTAACTTATGGTGGGATGACTGGGATTATCATCTATTGATCACCGAACTCACCACAAACAAGAATAAAAAGACTGAGGTTCATCAAATTGTATCATCTTTAAACCATCTGTAGCTAACACAATCAGGGACTCTGTTATTAATGACACAACAAGACAATGATAGTCTGTGACAATCAGCAAATTAGTTGCTGTATCCTTACTCTTGGGGTACCGATCTGGAATACATCATTAGTCCTTGTGATGAGTGGAGGCTCCTGGGTTGGTCTAGTTTGATCTATCATCGGAGCTCGGAGTGTCCCCATCAAATTATTACTTGAGCCACACGTAGGTGTGAAGCGAGGGCAAAGCAGTTGTCCTGTCTGAGCATATTACATTTCACTACTCTGTCTTCAAGGCATTACTGCCTTCTGCTCGAGTGCTGTAGGGTCTTTATATCAAATTTCCACAAGGAAAAAGTTGTTTATTGTCCGCTTAGCTCTTTATTTATCTTATCCGAGGCACCAGAAGCTAAAAATAGTTAGGTAGTTGAGCTGATACCAGGTGGTCGATGGTTTTGACTAGTAATGGTTTAATGTTTGGTTCGTTGATCCACTCAACTGGACAGTGTAACAGTGTGAATAATATACCAGCTGTACCATGGGCAGCACCTAGGTAGTCTGAACCATAATAGAAATAACGAAGAATCCTAGAAAATAATAATATATAATAATAATAATAATAATAATAAGTACTTTTTGTGTCCTTGTTGACCAGAGGCTATCAGTGTATCAAACATCTGTCTCATGGCTCCGTCAAGGTTGCATTTAGTACAGACATCAGCTGGTAGGTACTTCTTAGCGATGAGGAGACAGGACAAGTAACCAGCTCTACCATAGAGTACCTCATCAGGCGAGGGAGAGAGAGCAGCTGGAAGACACGAGAGAAGACTTTTCAAATAAGTCTCAGTCTTTACTGGCTCATTGTAGGAATTATAAATCAATGAAGCCAAAGTGTAGAGACCTAATGAGAATAAATACATTTACACATTATAGTTGCATTATACATCATGTTTAAATTGGTAATTTTAATAAACAATTTCAATATTTATGTACCATGTTTATAACTTAATACATAATTTGTTTCGGAGCAATTTTGGGGGATAAAAGCTTTTAATACCTGCCCCTTAATAGCCTGGACCCATCCCTTCCACTAGCCCCTTAATTGCATTATTAACTAATAATTAATATTAATTATTATTAATTAAAGGCTACCTGCTTTTCCAATATAAAACGCTATCCCATCATCTCCTCCGATGCTTAATGCAGTATGTATGGCTTCAATTGCCTTCATCAGGTGCTCGATATAATAATCATTATTACCAACGGAGAGATAATACTGACTCAACTTCCAGTTAACATAAGCATTACCACCAGCCCCTGTATATATAGAAGGATCACGTGACTTCCTCCGAGTATCATTAGAAGGAGCTACAGTAGTATCCACGGGATACTCGGAATGATACTTAATGATATTCTCACGGAGCCATTGTCTGCCCTTTTCCAGTATGCTCTTAGCCTCGGGGCTGTCGATATAGGCTCCGTCCCCCCGTCTATAAGGAGGGAATGAATGAGGGATGTACCTGATGGACGCCATCTTTGGAGTTAAAATTTATTCCATTTGTTGCACACGTGGAAGCACGTGGGGAGATGCCACGAGGAGTGGTTCCGTTAATTTTCCGTATATTTCTAATTTCAAGATGTCTTCCTCTGACGAGCTAGAGTCTTTTGAGGTGACTGAAGATGATATGAGATCACTGCACAAGAGGGGAAGGAGGAAGTTTACTAAAGAAGACGCCATGTTAGGAATATGGTCGAGCAGTACTGGAGAGACGGGATACAAGTCAATATTAATTAATTAATAATAATTATCATTAATTAATTTTAGGTCCAAGAAAGACTATTTGGCTCCGGTCGATTTCGTTTCGTCACAAAAAGAGGAGGAAGAAGGGGAGGAGTCTGACAATGATGACGAAGTAATTAATTAATCAACGGGTGTGGTCAAATCACTTTTAATTAACGAGTACTATATTTATATTTAAGAATGGCGACTATTAAATTAATTGCAATAGTAAAATTAGTATTTAAATAACTACCCTTCTCCCCCCCAGGATCTTGATTTTCAAGTTGATTATATATTGGAGAGTATTGATCAGAAGAAGTTGGACAGTAAAGGAGGAGGAGGAGGAGGAGAAGAGCCTGAGACACTGACTGGGTTTAAAACGGCCAGTCTGGAAAGAAACAGACAGCTCCATATGTTTAAGACGAAACCAGCAGCTCAAGGAGCAGCTCCTGGTAATGTAACGATAAATAAAGGAAGCGGTAAAGGTAGACCTCTTGGTAGAGCTGGTAGCAGCAGTATGGCAGAGAAAAGGAGGAGGGAACTAATGGTGAGTGATAAGGACTGGGGGAGCTGGCAGAAACACTCGTCCGGGTTCGCTAGTAAGATGATGAAAAAGGTAATTTACTTATTGTTGTTGTTGTTTATTGTTGTTGTTGTTGTTGTTTACAGATGGGGTATGTCCCTGGTAGGGGATTAGGTAAGAGAGGTGAGGGTATCGTTAATCCAGTGAAGGCAACCAAAACTAAAGAACTAGGAAACTCAGGACCTAATGTATGAATAAATAATAATAATAATGACGATTGATAAAATATAATTAATAATAATAATTATAATAATTTTTGTGTTACTAGTTGCCAGGTGTTGCTGCAATGGACGATGAGGAGCTTGAAGAAGAGGAGCAATTTAAGGAGGAGCTGCAACAATGGCAGAAGGACAGAGGAGGACCTGGTAAAGCAAAGCCTAAATATGTTTATAAGACTATGGAGGACCTAAAGGACACTGCCACTAAACACAAATCCTTTTATACCAGACTGGTAAGAATGTACTGTATAGTGGGAAATATTGGAGGGAATTAAATGTAGCAAATTGCTAAAATTTGATGATTGGTGGATTTTAATTTGGCGAATTTGTGACCACATGCCATTGAGCATGCGTATAATGGCTCAAAATGGTGGATGCGAATGGCTACAAAACGCCAATTTTCCAATTTTTATTCCCTCCAAAATTTTACACTATGCCTAGTATGTACATGTACATGTATGTAATGCATGTATTTATAGGATAGAGGAGGGGTAGGTGGGGCTGGAGTAGGCGGGGCTAGCAGTGACGTTAAAGTGAAAGTGATTGATATGAGAGGGAAGGAGACTAAGATATTGAATAGCTACAATGAACTGAGGAATGAAGCAAGGAAAGGACAAGACAGTGACAGTAATAATAATGATAATAATAATAATAATAATAATAATAATAATAATAATAATAATAATAATAATAATAATAATAATAATAATATTTAATTACCTTATAGAGCAAATTTTTTAAGGGCTATAAATTTCGTAAATTCACCTAAAAATCTATTTCACGGATTTAATTTTAGCAAATTTATGCCTTCTACCATCTTTGTAGCGTAAAAATTTGATTTTCAGGGAATTAATTTTTGCAAATCATGAAATTTATAGCCCTTGAAAATTTTGCGCTATACAGTAATCATAATAATATTTAATTAATGTTTAATTAATAGGTACAGCTGGTCTTTATGTTCCTGAACTGTATCACAATCTACAAGTCCTGGTATCTGATATAGAAGAGGACATCATATCACATGATAGAAGATATAATTATAATAAAGATACTGTCGTTAATTTGACACATGAGAAGAATAGGCTTGAAGGAATTATTGATGACGAAGAAAAGCAGATTGAGAAACTGACTGAAATTATGAATTTTATATCAATGTAAGCCACACCCCCTCTCTATCTCATTATTATTATTATTATTATTATTATTATTATTATTTTAGTTTTGATGATTCATCAGTGAGGATTACTCTAACAGAATGTGACGATATACTGACAAGATTACTAGAAAAATATCCTGAGGAATACAAAGTAAGTATACTAAAGTATACAAGATGCTATTAATAGTTCCTTTAGTTATACGAATTGTCTTCAATTGCAGTTGCTGTTGTATTTCCAATGGTATGTATCACTATTCACTAATACTGTATTACATGAACATTTTCTGATACATTTTCAGAAAAGGAGAGAATTCCTCAATTTTATTACATTTTCTGATACATATACATGTTCTTATGTTGTGTAGAAAGTTTGAGCTGATTCCAATCAAAATTGGATTTTTTATGAATTTTTAAAGTTGCTCCAAAATTGGACAAAAGTCTCTGTACTATAGTACAGGGATTTTTGCCAAATTTCACCAAAAATGACAAGGAGAGAATTCTCCATTTTTATTACATTTTCTGATACATATACATGTTCTTATGTTGTGTAGAAAGTTTGGGCTGATTCCGATCAAAATTGGATTTTTTACAAATTTTTAAAGTTGCTCCAAAATCGGACAAAAGTCCCTGTACTATAGTACATGGATTTTGGCCAAATTTTGCCAAGAATGAAAAGGAGAGAATTTCTCAATTTTATTACATTTCCTGATACATATACATGTTTTTATGTTGCGTAGAAAGTTTGAACTGATTCCAATCAAAATTGGATTTTTTTACAAATTTGTAAAGTTGCTCTAAAATTAGTCAAAAAATAATTGTCATGGATTTTGTGACAATGGAACTAATGGGTTTTTATACATGTGCATGTACTGTATGTTTGAGCTGATTCAAATCAAAAGAATTTTTTTTAATCTCTAAAGTTAGTGGGCCAAAGTCCCTGTACTATATTACAGGGATTTTGAAAAGGAGACAATTTTTCATTTTTAATTGTTATTATTATTGTTTATCGTTATTATTATTATTATTTAGTTACAGAGGCTATTGGTTGGTTGGGATCCTTCATCTGATCCTACTGGTCCTGCTAATGTATTCAACCAATGGAGGAACCTACTGAGGGAATCAGACTATTCATCAGCAGTTCCTCCTGAGCCTGATAAGTAAATACTGATATATTAATGATACTGACACTGATATTGATACTGATACTGATATTGATATTGATACTGATATTGATACTGATATATTGATAGGATGGATAATTACGACAGATTAGTTTGGGAGATTTGGTTGCCAAAGTTTCGATCAGTTTTATCATCATGGTCACCAAAATCTAATGTATGTACAGTGAAGTCCTTTAATATCTAATACCATTCTCTCCCTCTCTCTCTCTCCCTCTCTCTCTCTCCCTCTCTCTCTCTCCCTCTCTCTCTCTCTCTCTCTCTCCCTCTCTCTCTCTCTCCCTCTCTCTCTCTCTCCCTCTCTCTCCCTCTCTCTCTCTCTCTCTCTCTCTCCTTCAGGCTCCTAATATTATTAATATTTTAGAGCATTGGTTGCCATTGTTACCAGAATGGATCATCACTAATATTCTCGAATCATTAATATTACCTAAACTACAAGTAATTATTAATTCATTAATTAATTGATTGAGATATGCCCCTCCCCCTCAGCATGAAGTTGATAATTGGAACCCAACCACCGATCCATTACCAATACACTCTTGGATACACCCCTGGCTACCGTTAATGGGTCAGTATATTATCAGTATATTATTAGTATATTATCAGTATATTATTGGTATATTATTAGTATATTATTAGTATATTATTGGTATATTTACAGATAAACAGTTAGAGATATTATATCCGACCATTAGGATGAAGTTGGGTGTGGCTTTGAACAACTGGCAACCCTCAGATTCATCAGCTTTGATAATAATCCGTCCATGGATTAAAGTAGGCGTGGTTAGACGAGGGGGTGTGTCACAGTATTATTTATAGGTATTCTCTCCTCAAGTAATGGAGGCATTTCTATGTAGGACAGTTCTACCAAAACTTGAGTATTGTATACAGACTCTAGACATTAACCCAAACCATCAAACTATTGGTATGGTTAATTAACTATTGAATATTAATAATTAACTATTGAATATTAATAATTAACTAACTATTAATATTTAATAACTAACTATTAATATTTATTACTAGCTCCCGTTGAGTGGGTACTTCAGTGGAGAGAGGCCCTCCCTCTTCATCATTTTGTTCATATTTTTGATAAACATTTCTTTCCAAAATGGCTCCAGGTTAGTGATACAGCATTAGTCTCATTCAGGTATCATGTGCTACTGGTACAGGTACTGGGGAACTGGTTAGCTGGGAGTCCTAACTATCATGAAATTATGAAATGGTTAGTAACAATAATAGTTGCGATTGCTATCATTAATATTGTTAATTCTGATGTCATTTTGACTAAATTTTGTGTTCTGGCCCTTTTAAAAATGAGCCAATTTCTGAAAAGTACCCAAGGCTATAGCCCATGGTTTTTTCCGAAAAATGGCTCCGAAATTACTCCTAATTTTTATTACATTTTCTGATAAATATTGATGTCCTTATGCTGTGTAGAAAGTTTGAGCTAATTCTGACTTCAATTTTTCAAATTACGGCCATTTTAAGAAAACGCCGAAATTCTGAAAAATACCCAAGGCTATAGCCCATGGTTTTTTCCAAAAAATGGCTAAAAAATCACCCCAAATTTTTATTACATTTTTTGATACATATTGATGTCCTTATGCTGTATAGCAAGTTTGAGCTGATTCCAACTTCAATTTTTCAAGTTACTGCCATTTTAAGAAAACGCCAAAATTCTGAAAAATACCCAAGGCTATAGCCCATGGTTTTTTTCCAAAAAGTGGCTCCAAAATCACACCCAATTTTTATCAAATTTTTATCATCAGGTATAGTGGTTGGAAGTCATTATTTGATGGTGATCTATTGTCTCATCCGGTAATTAAATCAAACTTTAACCGAGCACTATCATTACTGGATCATGCTGCTCATGGTACACTAGTACCAGGAATGAGAGAAAATATGGTCTACTTCACTACTTCCGAAAGAAGGTAACAATTGTTTGAATTTTTGAGAAGGGAAATCCATACACAACATGGTGGTACAAGATTGTTAAGTGTGTTATATTAAGTCCATAAAAATGATTTCTAATCTGATAGTTTAATCCCTTGAAAGTTTCTGGCTAATACTATACGTATCAATACAGTACTTGAATTTTAAAAGCAATAAAATATGCAAAAACCTCTCTCTTTTCTCTCTTTGTTTCTCATTCTTGTCCCCTCCTTTAGAAGAGCTCCTGAAGTACAGCAGGTCAGCCAAACTAAACAGCAACAGGTCCCTCCAACTAGTATCAGTTTCAAAGACGTTATTGAGAAGAAAGTGAGAGAAGTTATTTTTAATTATTATTCTTATGAGAGACAAAAACAAAGATTAAACCTAGCATAAACATAGTTTATTATTATCGTTATTATTATTGTTGTTGTTGTTAATGTTTATAGGCTGAAGAACTGGGTATTGTGTTTCTGCCGTTAGCAAAAAGACATGAAGGGAAACAGTTACACAGTTTTGGTGACTCAACCATTTACATTGATAGAGGTGTCATTTTTATAATGGAGTCCAACCACTCGTGGACTCCTATTTCACTGGAAGAACTTGTCAATAAAACATCATGAAATTATTTTAAAATTCATGTATGTGTATATATTTGTGAGGCTCTTAGCCTCTTGCTAACTGATAATGGCCGGGTAGACCGGTTCACGACTCGAGAGTCCTCATTATAAAATCGTCTTTAGCACGCGCCGCTTGACGCAATTGCTCTTCACAAGACAAAAAATAACAGACAGAGAGAGGTAGGAGCAGAAACAGGAGATCTTCTCTTGCGCTGTCTTTCTTTTTCCCGTTTGGCTGGTTGCAAAGTCCTTCTGCAGCCGACAGGCGTGGGACCGACCACCTCTTGAGTGGTTTCCATCATGTCTTCCTTAACGAGCGCTACTTTACTGGTAAGCCCAACTTTATTGCTACGGCAATTACTGTATATATGCATATATAGCTGATTGTGAATTTATTGTATCTTGTAGTTTCTTTGTTTTTTTGTCTTGTTTAAATACTCTGCAAGCAATGTTGTGGTAAGTAACACTATTTTTATATACCGGGGTATATTTATCTATTTATTGTTATTATTATAATGTTTATTAGGCTAAAAGAGAAGCTAATCGAATGGCAATGGCTGTTTGCACAAATGCTTCAATGGTATGTAGTTATTATTAGTCTTATCATCATTGTTTTTGTTGTTCAGTTTTGTCATTAATTTATTATTATTTCTAGTGTTCTGTGACCTGTGGAGGAGGTTGTATGATCCAGTACTGCAGGTGTGAGGATCAAGCTGGTACTGCTTTGGCAGTCTGTGGTAGTCAGCCTTGTTGCTCTCTTGGGAATTTTCCGCGAACTGGAAATGATCCACTTTCCTGTATACAGTGTAACACGAATCCATGTCCTGGTAAGTATCTGTTGCTATAGGGATAGGCAAATAGTTCTAGCATAATTTGGAATTTTGGAGCATAATAG